GGCTGGTTTGACTCAGTGGATAGAGCATGGGCCTGGGGACTGAAGGGTCCCAGGTTCGATTCCGGTCAAGGGCATATGCCCGGGTTGCGGGCTCAGTCCCCATTGGGGGACATGCAGGAGGTAGCCGATAGGTGATTATATATATAGATATAGATATAGATATAGATATAGATATAGATATAGATATAGATATCTATATATATTTTTTAAAAAAGCTTGTAAGAAGAGAGCACAATTCATAATATGTGTTAAATAAGTAAGTTAGTAACCTGTAAGACATGCTAAAATAGAAAACATGATGGAAAAAAACAGAGGTTTACTTGCAAATAGAAAGGGATGGAAAGATCAAATTATCATCATGCCATATCTGGACTGACAGCTATGTCTTCTCCATTTCAGCCACCCATGAGGACACTCAGTATGGTCCTATCCTGGGTGCTCTACCCAAGAAATGCAAATAAAACCCATGTCTCATCAGCAGGCAAACTGGCAACGCTACCGCTGTATCTAAGTGCACCTGTCCTCACTCTGTGTTGGAGCAGGTCTGCATCATTAGTCGGTGGAGTCCTTGCTCACACATCAACTTTAGTCCTCATAACCACACCATCAATGGGGAAGGTTGAGGTGAAAAAGGAATGGGACATATGAATACGTGTACCCAGGACTCAGGCAGTGGGTCCTTCCAAACTCGTTAGCACTGTAGGTATATGAACTTATTCTATGGCTTTCCTCTTGCTTCCGGCTGTGGGTTTTAAACTGAGTTGATAAATCGTGTGACTCCAGCATATTAATTTGGCTGCTGAGCCTGTATGCCATAACCTCTGATAGCTGGTAGCATACTTGGAGGCTAACCAGCGCATCAAGGTAACTGCCCACAAAACACCTACTGAATCACAAATCCACATTTTAAAAGATCCCCAGTTGATTCATACGCATATTAAGTTTAAGAAGCACTGAGCGAGACTTTTAGATAGAAAAAGCTCCACAAAGACAGAAACTGGGATCTCAGAACTATGCTCAGAGCACTATCCTGAATAAAAAGCCTTGTGTACCCCCTGACAACGCAGAGCCCCAAGTGAGGAAGAAAACGCTAATGAAACCGTTTTCAACAACTAGCATGTAGGGTTTAGAGCAGTGATGGCGAACCTATGACATGCGTGTCAGAGGTGACACGCAAACTCATTTTTTTGGTTGATTTTTCTTTGTTAAATGGCATTTAAATAATAAAATAAATATCAAAAATATAAATCTTTGTTTTACTATGATTGCAAATATCAAAAAAATTTCTATATGTGACACAGCACCAGAGTTAAGTTAGGGTTTTTCAAAATGCTGACACGCCGAGCTCAAAAGGTTCGCCATCACTGGTTTAGAGCAACACAGCTGCCCTGGGTGATTCTCCTTTGAACCCAGGTCTGTAAAACTCTATACAGTTTGAGGAAACACTCAGAAAAGTATAGTGCACTGCACCTCAGCATTAACCCTGCAATCTCCTTCTTGCTGAGAATTAGAAAAATATCCCTTTCAGAAACACTATGTTTCAAGAGCACCGATCCAAAGGGCATAAGGCTACCAGAAACAGAGAACGGGGTATGACTTCCTTAATAAAGTTTCAGTGGCCTTAGAAACCTCATCCAAGCAGAGGATTGAGAATAGCCTTAGAAGCATCCCTAATGGGCTGTACACTTCCCACCGACCAGCAGTTTCTAACTTGATCGGCTCCAATCATTTTATATATTTATCACATTTGCATTGTTCCTAAACATATAGTAAGGACTCAGTAAATGTTCTGAATTAACATAAAGAATGAAAAAGTGTCCCCCTTTCTATCTTGATGTATCTAAGACAAGTTTAATTAATTCAACCTATTGGTTTTGAGAAATTCCTGAGAATTTCTGAAGAAATTCCTGAAAAGGCATAATTCCATGTCTCAAATTAGCATGGTTCATAACACTCCTTCACTCCATATCTCGAAGTTGGATTTTATGTTTTCTATTATTAATCTCATTATAGTTTTCCAGGACACTATGAAACACATTAACCTATCCATTAAGAAACAATCCAACCATTTCTAAAAGTCACCAACAACTATGTATAAGGAATATGCTACACAAGAAAGATCAGGTATGATTCAAATGACTTTCTAAGTCCAGACTGAAAATTAGATTTATGATCGAGGGAAGTATCTATCTAAAATATCTATAGGAGAATTGAAATAGAAACTGAGGACATCACATACACTGAGATCATAAACAAGATCTAAAACAAGAGGATAAAGGTGTTGAGAATGTTTACCCTGGTGAAGAATAAGATGAGAGTATCAGAAAAAGTATGTAAAAGTTCTAAAGATCATTTCTGTAAGGAATATGCTTCCTATTGCTTCTGAAAGAAGGTATGTGTTTAAATTTCAAAGGAAAAGATTTCGGTTGGAAATCATAACTTCTCATTCTATAAATAATGCTTTATAAAAAGAATAAAGAAACACACATATGAAATAGCTGAGTGTATTCTCTTCCAAATGATTGACCAGGTCCTGATCACTCCATGCACCTAGTACAGCCAAGGACATTTAAAGTACGCATTAGACACTTAGGCACAAGTTTTTACACTATTACATGGGTTTAAATACCTTTGTGTTTAAGACTCAACTTTACAAGCTCACAGAGGAAAGACATAACCCAATAAGTTTTTGTTCTCCTGAAGCAAACAGCATAGAATACACACACAAGCCTTCAATAAATACACACTGAATTTAGTTAAGTATTACTACTCTCTAAGGCAAAGTCTTAATTGCAAATTAATCTAAATACTACCATCACGAACATCACCCAGTAGAAAACTAGCTCTCAAAATTTCCAAGTGAAACCACACTTACATGTTAAACAATGGGAACAACAAGAAAGAGTGATTGTCTTTTCATTACAAAGGGCAAAGAATGAATCTTTTGTTTGTAAAGTTAATCCACTCCAACTAGTACTGTTAACTGCCCGATAAAACACAGGGCATTTATCTCTCTGCTTTACAAATCTTTTGCTTGATCTATGTTCTTGGTGAAATGTGCTAAACTTAAATATATGTAATCTATTTCATTCTTTGTTATATGAAATATACAGTATCTTTATTGTATAAAAATTAAAAGGCAAAATGCTTACTGATATAAGCAATACTAGGGAAAAAATCACTTGAATTTCAAAGTATCATATCCCAAAACTGGTTTGATCATATATGAACAGACATATTTCAATGATAAATCCTCTAAAGTTCATTAAACCTATTACTGTGCAGTTATATTTTGGGCAGCACAGAACCCAAATACATAGCAGGTGCCCCATTTGGCTGAATGGATAGCATTCTACTTGATCAACTTTCATAAGCTGTGACCCACTCGCCCCCCCCACCCCCCGCCCAAAAGGGAGTCAGTCACTGGTTTTAACAAACTCCTTGAAGAGTTCATTTCAGTTATTCTTGCTTTGTTCAATGTGAAACAATTTAATCTTATTGCTTTCTTCTTAAGGGGCAGAACAATGATGTTCAAATGGGAGCACTTGCAAAGGGGACATGAACTGTCAAATTCAGGAGCTCATTGAACAAGCCGGAACAGGCTCACCAAAGCGAGTGCCTGGATTTGGGGGGTACCGGGGAGAATAACAAAGGAAGGGGGCAAAACACTGCAAGTAAACTTAGCTTGCTCAGGAACTAGACTCACATCTCTAGTTTACACACAGTTGACCTTGACATGGCCCGGTCTGATCCAGAACTTCTGCCTTACATTAGTGAAATGAAAATTTCCCGTCTAACACCTGTAGACAACTTCACAGGTTATAACTTTATTTCAAAACAGTATTGCATCATTAAAGCAAGGTCAGATTTCTCTTTGCTCTGTAAACTATACATCTTACAGCCTTATATCAGAGTTTCCTAAGATGGAAATGACAATAGACAGTGATTAGAGATTTTGAGGAGAAAATTTAATAAGAAACCATCTCAAATTCCAAATCTATCATATATACAGTGTGTAAGATAGAAGCCCCTAGAAAGTGGTTTGAAACTACACATGCTGCCTTCAGATTCCCCTAGGAGGGCATGCCAGGATTCTGGGACGGGGCTGGGGCAAGGACACTCTGAAACAGCACTCCAGGAGATTCTGACACTCAACTCCTTAACCCTGTTGCCATTACCAGCTAATAATGTTTCACCACCCGCTGCTGATGTACTCTGTGCTATTCCTCTACCAAATGTGAAATAAGTAAAGTCGTTAGAATAGAGCATCCTAATTCAGCTGGCATGTATCCAGTTTTCAAGAGGTAAAAATAAATCCATGAGTGGCAAATCAACTTAACTTCCTTTCACAAAGTTTCACTTTAAAGCTACAGATCAAATTCTGAACGCAGTAATAGCTTTCCAATTAAAGTATTTAAGTCCGCTAATATATTTCCATGAATCAAACTTTCACTACCAAGTAGCAGTACCAAAAAAAAAAAAAAAATTCCAACATTTTTCACAATCCACTTACACTTAAGGAAGGGATAACTCAGATTTTTTGAAGCTAGGAAATAAAGAGTATTATTTCAAGCTTACCATAAGACTCCCTTTTGTGTGTTATACTTGATATCCTAGTGTTTAGATTCAGAAAATGTTATTATTTATGGATAACTTTAGGTAAAATTAGTTATAGAAGTCACTCTATTTCAGACTAACACCCCTGGTTTTCAGTGTTCATAATATTATATTCACACTCTGGTCCATTGGAAAGTTTCTCACAATCCCCAAACTTCTCCAACTTTAATATTACTCAATACTGGCTTATGCAACTCTAAAGCACATCAGGAAATATGATGGATACCTCCCATACTTTTAAAATCACCAACAACATGTGTATATCAACAACCCTGAATTCCTTCTAGTTGTCAAAATCTGTTCTGCATACAGTTAGGCCCAAATACTACTAAGAAAACTTAGGGGGGAAAAACTTGCAAAACAAACTGAGAAAACCTACTTACCTTAATTGGAGCACTACTAAACTTAATTTTCCTATTTGTGGGGATTTCTTCTTCTTCTGGCAATCCAACGATTTCCGAGTATTCCATGTCAGGTTGGTAGTAATTGTTTTCATCACTATCCTCCTGCTCATCCTGTTCAGTGCCTGTCTCTCGCCAGTCGGGATTATACCTGGATCTTACCCTATATACATTATAGTCACTGTGCATGTAAACATGGGGACTCTCAATATTACTTGAATCTTCAGGTACTTCCTTCCCACAGCTGGATCCAGAAGCATCAGCAGAGATAAAATCACCACCTGCAAGCTCTTTCTTCTGTGGCATTGCTGCCTCATTCCCAACCAAATTAGCTTTGGCATCTTCTAAAGGCTCACTCTGGGGGGAGAGGATGTCGGACTCTGGCATTGCCTTGTTCTCAGCACAAGGTTCTCCGGGAACGTCTTTGTCAACTCTGTCAGGAGTCTCTTGGTTAGATGTGGAGTCCTCAGCTTCCTTGCTCAGCTCTGCCTCTTCACTAGGTATCAAAGTGAGAGAGGTACTTTTCGAAGCCACTTCTGGTACAGGGGATGTGTCGCTCTTCTGAGCATCCTCTGCATCATCACCGTGTTTGCTTGGAGGAGTGCAAGAATCAGAATCCTTAAGACGACTAAAGGTGTCAAGATTTGTAACAGTCACAGCTGGTAAATTCAGGGGATAATGTCCAGTCACTGAGTACTCATTTTCAGCCTTCTCAGGAATGATGGAATTGGGGGAATCGGTGTTCTCAAATACTGCACTCAGTTGACTCACAGTTGGGGAGACAGCCTCTGTCCGGGGGCTAAGGCTGTCCAAGGAGTCAGTACTGCCTCTGTTGGACTTCGAACCACCCCATTCATCCTGAGGTTCATTCCCTCCAGCTTTCTCTTTCTTTGGGGAATAACGGTTGTTTTGCCCTGATTCGTGCACACTTCTCTCAAACAACTTCCGAGTTTCTGTGAACTTAGAATATGAAGGGCCATCGTGCATTGTGTCAAATCTACTAATTCGCTCTGAAACAGAGGACTCCAACTTAACAACCGAGCCATCTGTTTTCTCCAGAAATTCTTTGGGCCTCATTCTTCTCTGAGGGGATGACGGGCCACCTTTCCCCCTTGTTTTGGCAATGACCGCAGCATTCTCATTGGGTTCCATACCCATCTGCATAAATAGGTTTTTAATTCTGTTGACATTGGAGCCATATTTCCTCCCCCTGCTCTGCTGGGAGCCCTCACCTTCTTTTGTTTTTTGTTCCCCATCTGACTTGGGTTTGTCAAAGGTACTTTTCAGTGCCTGGAACTCAGTTCTATACGCATTCCTGTGAGGAGAGGCACTTCTGAGAGTGGTTCGTTCGCCTGAAGACTCGGTTTTCAACATTTTTATTTCAGGGTGAAAAGCCAATGTTCATAATGATCAGGAAAAATAAAATACCTCTCTTCTCTAATCACCAGTATTTGATCAAGCAAAAGTACCTCTCAAATAGCATACTGTGTCAGTGATCCACGCAACAGGTGTATTAGGAAATTATTCAGTCAAGAGTTACACAAAATGGCTTTTTCAAAGCAAGACTAGAGGTTCATCTGTAATAGAAAAGAATGAATTTCTGAATTCATTTACTTATTTGAATTTATGTTTACTCAACTAACATACACTTTTCCTTTCAAAGTGGCTTCAAACAGAGGAAATTACTTATCGGAGCTGGAATTTAAAAGCCAAGACTTTAAAAGTTATAACTCTGGTCTCTGGTAACAAAATGTTTCAAACACAATTTGGAGATCTCTACCAAAATCACACACATGCACACATACAAGTTATACAAGCACACTTGAAAGCAATACTTTAGCCCAAGTTTTGATTGCTTTTGTGAATCACCTTAAAAGAAATCAGCAGTTTGTACATCCTTAAGAAATCATCAAACTGCCCAGAAACATGAATTTCATTTGGGACTCTTCACATCAGATAAAAGTTATTCTTTCTGTTTAAATACAATTCAAAGTTTGGGAACTATGTTTACAAACTCCAAAACATGCCTATGGAGGCTTCCTTCCCTCCTTCTGGTCCAGGGTTCTCATTTACAGCATCCCCAGAGCAACACTAGTGCAATATCAGACCAAAACAAGCAGAACCAAGTTCTTCAAATGGCAGTACGTTTCCCTTTCAGTCCAGTTACAGCAAATATTTGGAAGTTTCCTCAGAGTGGATATTATTAATTACAGAAAGGGATGTAGAATGTCATGGGAATAAAAGCATGAGAATGTGATGATCAGAAAGCAAATGTACCATGAAACCTCTATTTAACAGCCCTGATGTGTTTATTCCTGCTTTGCCTCTAACTTACTACAAGCTCAACATGCAACGCAATGCAGGCTTGCTGCTCTCCTGGAGCCCACAGCTGGATTTCATACCCATAAGGGCAGCCATAAATACTTCAAAGATCTTCTAAAGATTTTTTTCATTTGGTTTGGGTTTGGGATTTTCATATTAGGCCGAGCTCCATCAGCCCCCACGCTCCGTCAGCTGAGGAAGACACACACTTTCACGTAAATCGTCGCCAAACTCGGCTCCTGGCCCAGCACGCATGCATGGCCCATGCAGACAAACAAGAAAGGCTCTGGAGTGTGGAGCCTGGTTTGGGGTAAGGCATCGGATCATCATCTCCTTCCACCCGGACCTCGGCTTCAGCCTCACACACCCTCCCCTCCCCCGCTCCCCCCCCCACCCCCGCCTACTCCTGCCCGAGGGGGCGGGGGCGGGGGAGCTGGGGCAGCCGGGGGATTCAAAACCTGCCCTCACCAAAGACAAACATAAATAACACCAACTTGAGAGGCGGCCGATTCCCCTGCCAGGTTCGGGACGCCGTCCCTCGGCCCCGGGGCAGGGCCGGGAGAGCAGGTGACGCCGAGCGCGACGGGAGGAGGTCGCAGTCTCGCTCGGTGCCAAGCAGCACCTGGAGTCCTAGCACACTGGCTGCGGCTCCCGGCGGCTGCCAGGCGGCTCCCGGCGTGGCCCGGGGAGAGCCGGGCTCCCCAGCCACATTGAAAAAGGAAAAGGACCAAAAAAAATAAAAAATAAAATGACAGGGTAAGGATCACAAATCCCTTTGTTTTTCCGCCCAACGTGCCAGGAAACAATAGATCCCACTGATCATGCCTCCGCTCCTCCACCTACCGCTCCCAGCCACAGCCCACCCCCACCCCCCGCCTGCAACTCAGCCTTTGTGCGCCCCGATCTGTCCCTCGCCCTCTCCGCCCGCCCCAACTCCTCGCCCCGCGAGCAGCCTCCCCCTTACCGAGCCGGGGCCGCCGCGGCGGGGAGGGTCGGCG